TGAAGGACCAGGTTTTAAAAATTATTTCCGTCTGTTGCTGACCGAGTTGTAGTCCTGTTGTGCCAAACAAAAATGCAGCTCGCACTTCATGTGACCCATGGTGCTAGTCTGACGACGCCCCAGCTGGCTCATGTAAAGGAAGAGCTGACTGATCGTTCTTGGTCCTTGTGGCAGTTTTCAGTTGCTGTAAGTTTCTAACCCTTACTGCATGTTTCTGAACTTCTCACAGGTGGGTACCAGACTTGTTTGCCATTTGGTGCCAGACCACACGTGAGGATCCCTGGTCCAGAGGGGACCTCTCTTTTGGCAAGGTAGCTAAATCATAGATAAAGAGATCTTTTGGGGTGCAATGATTGCTGCTAAAGAATTACAACATTATAATAGCTTAGGTGAGAGTTTCTCTTCCTAAGAGCGAAAAGACATTTGAAGTGATTTGTTTTCAATTTTGTTTTTTTTTAATATGTATCATTTATCCACATATACAGTCAAGGTCAATTAACTGCTCAATTTTCAAGTGGGAAATGAAAATTGTATAGCTGAAAGGCAAATGCACATTCTCAGACACAAAGGTGGAATTAGAGGGTAGCAGGTTACTACATGACTAGATACACAGCCGCATTATTAGGTATGTATCTGATATTTTAACTGTGTGCTATAATAAGGATTTTTTTAGGTAAAATCTGAGAAGTTATGAGTTGAACTGAATCTAAGAAGTTGTTGAATCCAAAATTGTAAGTTCTGTAATTACAAAAATAATGATCATTAATATGTCATTTCAATAGAAATATTGTTCATTGGGGAGTTTTAATATCTATTTATTAACTAGAACTAGACCTTTTGTCATTAAAGTATAAAAATGCACTATGTAAGTACTTTTAAAATCTTTCCTGTAATTTGGTCATGTTTTCAGCACTGAACAGATTGCAGGACAGTTTGTAGTTAAAATTTTATGGTCTAACTCTGTGAAGGGAAAGGTATATATAGGTTACTTTAAAGATACAGTGTGCTTTCCCTTCAGCCTGTCCCCCAAGGATTTTCACATCTTTGAACATAGCTGATTTTATGACAGTCTATCCCAAAGGGATACCATTTGGGAATACAATTTAAATGCTATATCAGCTCTTACTTTAGTAGATCTATTTTGTGGTCACTCCATTAAAGCACTGAATAATTTGAAAACTTTTTATTTTTTATTCCGTATGGAGATTTATTCCCAGAGCGGGACTTTTCTGATGCAAAATTGGAATGCTTGTGTAGTCACAACAGCTGTCCCCACACCATGTGGTATCTTCCATCTCTTTACTGTAGAGATGAATTTTTGGCCCAGTGTCTCAGTAATATTGGACACACATGGTTTTAAGTGGCAAGCAGGATGCTTATGCATTCACTTGACTTTCACAGCTACAGCTGGCTCCAGATTAGAACAAGGAGACGACATTCACACCACGGCCACCCTCACAGCTGAGGGAGGAGCTGGATCTCAGTAGGTGCTGCTGCTTCTAAAGACACAGCTAACTACTGCCCAGGGATTCACATTCACCACAGTGCCTTACAGCTGTGGGAGAGAGAACATGCATCGCTACAGGGGTTCTCTCAGAGATTTCAGATTATGGTCCTAGTTAATATCAACCTGGTTTTTTAGTATTAATAATAAAATCATGGCTGTGAAACAACAATACAAAAAGGAAAGATTATCAGAGCAGTAGATGATTTTTTAGGCCTAGCCATCCACATGTGACTTTCATGTTTTCCTTTCTAGGGAAAAAAAGTGGCACTGTCCTTTTAGACTCATTAACAGGAATTAAAATTAGATTGCTTCTTAATGCCCGTTCATATATGTAACGTGTTTGGAAAGCCAATCTATTAAAAATAGATTATTTTAAAGAATTAGTTTACTATGTGAAACAGTGGCTTACATTGATATTTTTAGACAATACCGTTTGCTCCGGAAATGTTTGTTGTAACTAATGCAGAAATAAGATGACTTGATGTAGTGTGGAATGGCATGGATATCCTATGTGGCTTGAATACTGTAATCTCGGTGCAGCATCAACTTCATGCTCTTCGTGGGATGACTTGGTACTATAAGCTTATATTTAAGTTCGTCTTAGCTCTTTTGCATTTCTGAAGCCAATTGGTATAGTTTTTAAAGTTGCAGCTTTTAGCAAAAATTATTTCCTTGAAAATCCAATTCTGTCTCTCCACATAATACCTGAATAATACTTTCTCTTAAAGTAGAAACAAATAACTAAAAAGAAAAAAACCTTCAGTGTAAATTTTTAAATTATCTGATATGGAGAATTAGATTTCTGACATTCATTAGATGTCAAAGAAATTCCGACCATACTCAATGTAGGCTACCTTTTTATAGAAGTGAATTTATGCATGTGTTTCGTTAGGGTTGTACTGATGAATATGTTTGAGGCTTTCAGCTCTTAGTGGATACAAAATAGAATGATTGATAAAATCCTCCCTACTATTGGCTATTATTTACTGACTCTTAAGTGGCAGGTTGTATTTATGCCAATTTATCTGCTTCAGGGAACATTCTTGATAGCAGAACAAAGTGAATAAAAGTAGTTTGCTTTGCAAATGAATGCAAATGGGAGAGCCTTTCGGAAAGCCCTTTAACACGGGCAGTGCACTTTGATTATGAGTGAAGCTGCCATTTGGACATGGTGAAAAGAGCACGCTTGAACCATTGATTGGGGGAGACAGTAAAAAGTCAGGAAGGGCCGCGTTAAGCTTGCAGTGAGGCAGGCGGATGTCAGTGTGGTTAGAGCACAGTGGGAGAGTGACAGGGAGGATTAGTGTCAGGGAGAAGCTTTGCTGTAGCTGTGGAGATAGTCCCTGGGGTCACTCACCTCTGACTGTTGCTCTGTGCTGATGGTTCTGTAATGCAAACGGCCTGATGTATGCCTGTTCATTATCGGAAACAGTGATTAGAAAAGGTATTTGTCTCAAAGGTTTCCTTCTTTCTTTCTTCTCTTCTCTTTATTTTCAATTAAAGGAAAATAAGGTGGCTTCCTCCATCTTTGCTGACTCCTAGAGCCTTGTGTGCTACAGTGTGGCTACTGCCTCTGGCAGGGAATAGTTTAGTGCTAAACGGTTCGTAAAGTAGTTGTAACCTGGTTATCTGTTATTTGATAATGGTTTCTTTGGCTTCAGCTTTGGGTTTCACCAAGCGGTAGTGCTGAGTAAAATGCAAAGAATATGCTTGCACTTAAAAGTTTTGCTTTTGCAAAAAAGATTTTGTAATCTTTAAGGAATTTCATTCATTTTAATAATTTGATCAACTATTAAAAGCTGTTTACCTTCTCAGAAGAAATGCTGCTTTGCGTGGACTTGATGGTTTAAGTCTTGGTTGGGAAAGTTTATTTCTTTTCCCAAGTTTTATAAAATGCTAATAGCACTTGATAAGTTAAACTTTTTGAAAATACATGATTTTTTAGAATTAAATGTTACACTGAACAAAAAATACCTGTCTCAGTCCTGTTTCTAAATCAGTACATTTACTTGTTCATATTTTCACGTATGCTTATAGTTTTTTTGTTTTTGTAATCAGGCATTTGTGAGCATTAGTGACACAATGCACCTCAAAACAATTGTCTTTCTTTTTGTAATGTCTTCAAGAGCCTGGGTTCGCGATATTTCTTCTTTGTTATTTGGTTTACATCAGAACTTTTTATAGGCTACTGAAGCTTTGCTCTCTGTTAAGCATGTAGCTCAAACCTTCACCTAAACTATTAGATACATTTTAACGTTGTTATTTTTGCAGACAGCATAATGCCAGTACTTTGGTTCACAGGTTTATTAAATGCTTGTAGCAAACATTCTCTAAATTCTTTTTTTTTTTTTTAATGTTTTGTAGGCACCTGAATGGACGGAAGAGGACCTCAGCCAGCTGACAAGAAGTATGGTTAAGGTCCCAGGAGGGACCCCAGGTCGATGGGAAAAGATTGCCCACGAATTGGGTCGATCGGTGACAGATGTGAGTTCACTCAGATTTGCATTGCATGGAGAGTGCAAACAACAAACCAGAACAAGGCAACTATGTAGCAGGCAGACATAGATGCATCCATATTATCTTTGGAGAAAGGCTACAGTCCTTTTAGGACCTGGAAGTGAACCATTAACGAAATAAGTAAGAAGCAGATGTCAGCCAGTCCCCTGGTCCACACGTTTAGAGACTTAAGCTACTGTATCTTAGTCACAGAAAAACAATGCTAGTTTCTGTGTTTAGAGTGACCCCTTTAGCTGTGGCAAAAAATAGTCCTCAGATCAGAATTAGAAAAGTTACATTTCAGCTGGATCTTTTTAATGTTGAGGTTCAGGTTGCTTTAGGTATTTAGACAGGTGGTTTGCATTAATTAAATGAGCACTCTTCCTAAAATGTTTTATTTCAAGGATGATACCTACCATCCATTTTGACAATTGTTTAACCCCCTAAAATTTTATGCATATAATTTTAATATATAATTATAAATAAAATTTAATATTTACATATAAATATACATTTATACATGTATGACTCATCATACCTACCATTTAAAAGACAAAGTGTTTACCTGGAAAGTTTTAGACTTAGCACTTTGGAAATTTAGAGCAGAGAATCATAAAAGCACCTACCACAGCACCAAACATGTACTAAATAATTTACTGAATTTATTTTAAAATAAATCCTTTAGATCTAAAATATTTAAGAGGTTACTAAAAGCAAAGATTCAATTCTGTTAGTACACCTTTGGGTCTTAAATCCTGCAAAAGAATTAAACACAACTACCAAAAAAAAAAAACCAATCTGTTGCATAAATGCTATAAGTTATTTTTCATAGTAAACTTCCACTTTTTAATTTAGAAACAAACTTAGAAAACATATGACTTTTTTCTTGTTTTTTCTTTTTTGAGAATTTTAAATTACATAAATGTTTTTACTACCATATTTAAAATCACATATTTGAATTTTGTAAGAAATTTTTCATTATTTTGGCTTCAGAGTTAAAGTCTGATCATGTGGAAAATTACCCCTTGTACTTTTTTTTTCTTTTTTTTTTGCTATTTCATAATGAGACCAGTTAGCTTAGGTGACTGGAGAAAAGTCATAAGGATACCTTTTCTTCTGCTGAGAATGTTACTGGGATGTGCATCTTATTATCTGGCTTAAAGGCTGTTTGTAAAAGATAAGTTAATGACTTACTTATCAGTAAATATCTGACCAGATTAAAGATATTCCATCCTTAGTGATGTTTAAGTACTGTAATCCTCTGACTGTACTGCTATTGTTAATATGATGATTAACAGAAATTACTAAAATAAGTTTTAGAAAGTCATAAAACAAGCATTGGTTTAAAAGGGTCCCAAAACTTTGAGTTCAGTTGGCTAATGAGAGAGACTAGTTCACTATTTAGTATCACCCTTGAAGACAGCACTGCCTTAACTTTTTAAATAATATTTCTGTGACACCTTACAATTAATGATAGAGGCAAGTAAGAAATTGATTAGAGCAACACTTTTAAATTTGTTGTCATTAAAATTTGGTTAAATTTTAATCTATATTTTTAAGAGGAGAGAGATGAATGTTTAAATGATAAGAATATACATGATGTAACCAACAGAGCCTTGAAGTGGCTGGTTAGTATTATAGATACAGAAAATCCACATAACTTACAAGCATAGTCTTAGTGCAGTCTTGGTATATGTAAAGTCATCTTTTCACACTTTTGCAAATTCATCCCA